ACACACACACACACACACACACACACACACACACACACACACACACACACACAAAAACAGTAGTTTAGAGTTCTGTCAGTTTGTGTGTGTGTGTGTGTGTGTGTGGTCCTGTACATGACCATACGGGACCTTGATACCGGATAAACATCAAGGCCACACTGATGGTCACTTTGTTGACGGATAACTGTCATGTCAGACACACACACGCACGCATGCACGCACACACACACACACACTAGTTTTCAGTAAAAATGAAATCTCTCTCTGGGTCAACTCATTCTAATCACGTCGATTCTGGAAACACTTTGAGTTGTGAAGTTCTAAACAGCTGGTTTGATTGAAAGCTCGTCAGGAGTCAGCTGATCTCAGACCGCTCACCGACGATGGAGAGGATGACGACCACGAAGTCGAAGATGTTCCAGCCGACGGTGAAGAAGTAACACCGCAGCGCCATGATCTTGGTGAGGCACTCGGCGGTGAAGACGATGATGAAGGCCAGGTTGACCTTGTTCAGGATGTACTCCATCTGCGGCGACTGCTCGTCCGTCTCCACCATCATGGTGATCATGTTGAAGAGGATCAGCACCATGATGATGATGTCGAACGCCTGCTTCCCCACCAGGTCGAAGAAGAAGCCCTGCAGCGGGTTCTAGAGAAGAGACGTTTCATTATTTAAACATTTAACTCTTCGTTGTCATATTTGTGTTTAACCACGGATGTTTCACATTAATGCAGAATAAGAACGTTTCCTATTAATCTCAACAGCTGAGAGAATTAGACCTTTATTTTGAAATATATTCATATTAAAGGTAGAACTTTGTGAATATTCTTGTTTAATTATTTTAATTGAGGTAGTTTTCTGTTAAAACTCCAAACCTCGTGTTTCATGAACTAGTTTCTCAATATAATTTCTTTATAGTTTCAAAACGACTGTGTCTTTTATTGTGAAGTGCTGTGTGTTGGTACCAGAGGTCGGGGGATGGGTTTCTGAGGTTTCTTGGAGCCCAGTTTCTTCATGGCGTTGTAATATTTCTTCTGCTCCTCTGTCATGAAGATGTCCTGCCCTCCTAGGTAAACACACACACACACAGACTTCACAATTATTCTCATTACCCTGAAAGACACAAAATAAAATAATTATATGTCATAAATAAAATCAGTGTAAAGTTTCAAATGCCATAAAAATGAAAGTCAGGCTGAAACCATGTGTGTCCAGTTCTAATCTCAGCTTCTTCAGGTGTTGAAACAGATTCTGTAAATGTGTTATAAATACTTATCTTCCGTTTCTGCTGGTTGAAGTTGTCAATGATGACGCCGATGAAGAGGTTGAGGGTGAAGAAGGAGCCGAAAATGATGAAGATGACGAAATACAGGTACATGTACAGATTGATTTCTTTGATCGGCTGCTCCTCGACCTGCGAAGAACAAAAAACATAGCAGATTTTAAAGTTTAAACCAGTTTCTACGGAAGCGTATTGCATTCACTTGTAAAAAAAAAAAGTTTTTCGGACACATTTGCTTCTGTTTTTCTGACAATTTTTTTTTTCTGGACAAAATTTTTTGGTTTCGGTTTTCAAAGTAATTTTTTTTTAGTTTTCCAGACTAATTTTTTTTTTTTTTTTTCTGTTTTCTGAACACATTTTTTTCTGTTTTCCGGAGTAAATTTTTTTTGTTTTCCAGACTCATTTTTTTCTGTTTTAACGACAAATGTCTTTTTTTTATTTTTCCAAATTTTGTTTTGCTGTTAATCTGACACATTTCTTTTTGGTTGTCAGATAATTTTTTTTCAGTTTTCTGTAAAAAAAATTTTTTTCAGTTTT